CATCATCATCATCATCATCATCATTATATAAATTGCAGAAATGGTACATTAACTTTAAAGTGCAGCTGCAAGCTACAGAAAAGATGTCCCATGACAGTTCTAGTCACTCCTTCTACAACCTGGATTCAAATTTTGCATACTTCTATTTTATGCATGCATCTTCTATTATTGTCTTAACTTCTACCATTAACTAAATTCTGTTGGCATTTGTCTAGGTTGATTGATGCTTTGAAGGAAAGCATTGCTCCCTTTTTTTCTCACTTGATTCCAAAAATCTGAATGCAATAATTATACATCCTTCATATAATCCAACATTTTTATTCTTTCTCAGAAATTATGATAGTTCTTACAAATACTCAATCTGTTCTTCTTTGAGATTTTGAGAATTATTTGTAGAGAAGGAAACAGTTGGCCATTATGACAAGGACATATCATAAAAACAGATACAAAACTGCTTCATTTTTCCTACTATCTATTTCTTCTCATAGTTCCTCAGTTTCTGTTTCACACAAATAGAACACAGAGCTTACCTATTCACTGAACCTATATTTGGATTGTATCAACAATTACATTCTGATCAATTGCATTCTGATCAATCAACAATTATATAACTGGAATTCAGAAACAACAGTTTCTGATATGTAATTTTCATTATATGGATATACATATATGTCTAACCAACAGCCTAAAATTTGCTTGTCAGCAGAATTTACATCTGAATAGGCACACATAGCAGTATAAAATACAAATTCATAAACAAAATTATTACCAAATAAGCATCTATAATGATGATTTTAGGCATTCAATGATGTAGTAATACATTAGAGTTTAATGAGGAACAAAGATCAAGAGTAGGCTTGTGACTTTAAGTATTAAGGCAGGACAGAGTTGCAAAAGATACTTTATTTCAATAAAGGTTAAATTAAAGCATCCCTTCAAAGCACTTTGACGAAGAGAAGCACCCTTTTGCTTTTAAACAGTGGAGTGGCTTTGCTTAGCACGTGCAATAAACCATTTCTTTCAAAACAAACTGACCAGTTGTTTCTAATCATAAAATCAAGATGGAGCATGCTGCCTCCAGATTCTGTTCCAGGTGAGGCTATAAAATTGTATAAACATATAAAAATTACCTAACTTATTTGTACAATTCTGTCATTTTTCATGGAGTGTCGCCCTGAGATAAAGAAAATTTAGTTCATGTATCCTTTTTAAATATGTTTCTGCTAGAACAAATGAAGTACCAGGATAATTACTCATTACAAAACACAACAATATTTGAAGTTTCACTTTTCTGAAATATTTTATCTGACTTACAAAGATTATTAATTATATTATATATCTTAAACATCTCTTGCAAGAATGCAAATGTCAGATGTAGTTTTCTTAAAGGCTACTGCTGATAATTTAAGGGAAGAGATAGTTAAATTTAGTATGTAATAATGTGTTTGATATGATATGAATCAGTCAGAAATCTTTCAGATATATTTATAAGAAGTGATTAGTGGTGTATTAGAGAGTGGCTAAATTTTTACCTATATCACTACTAGTGTGGATTGAATTTAGAGGACTCATTAGCAATAGCAATAGCACTTAGATTTATATACCACCCCACAGTGCACTCTCTAAGCCAGACATGTCAAACTCGCGATGTCATGTGACATCGTGCAACGTATCGGAGCTTTTTCGCCATTGCCGGCAATGGGGTGGGTGTGGCTTCCCGATGATGCGTCCGGCCCACGGGCTGGCAGTTTGACACCCCTGCTCTAAGCAGGGGTCAGCTTATTGCCCCCAATAATCTGGGTCCTCATTTTACCAATCAAGGAAGGATGGAAGGCTGAGTCAATCTTGAGCCCTTCAGGATCTAACCCCAAGCTGTGGGCAGGATTTTCCTATAATACTGCATTCTAATCACTGCACCCAGCAGGCACTGATTATATTTATTAAACACAATTTTGTTAGAATACTTCTATCAAGTGATGGGAATTAGCAATCACATATCTCTCTTCAGGCTAAAGTTAATCTGAAAATTCAGTGTAAACTGTGGGTAATGTGACATGAAAAAGCTTCACAGCTCAAGTCTGAATAAATCCAATTCAATTTATATGGGACTCAATGTTTTTTACAAAACTGGATCTATATTATATGATTTCCAAGGAAATAGAAACAGAACATAGAATGTAATTATATTATCATTTTAAACTGAAGCATCTTTCTCATTAATTTTTGAACTGCCTTAGATTAGCCATAAAAACAATATTGTTCTATTTTTGCTGTTATTGTTAAAATCCAGTTATTTCATATAAAGTTTATAATTCGGTTTGTATAGGCATTTAACAATAGTAAAACAAAATAAAATTGTGAAATGGGGCAGTTTTAAGTCCCTAATTAAGAGAAGATTCCAAGCTGTAAAGGAAACTGAGAATTAGAAGATGTAGGCATGCATTTTATGTGAGAGTTCTCCCTGGAATAATTTAAAATATTCCTTTAATTCCTTTATACAAATTGTTTATATTCTCCCAAATATTACATAAGCTAAGCCACTTTTAAACACATACACACATATCAAAACTTTCTGGTTTCAACAAGAAACATATTTGTTAAAAGACAGAGATCATTGTACAGGAAAAGGAAAAAGAAAATATATTTTAAAAAAAATAATCTAATTTTTTGAATACCCTCTTGGATTCCCATATTAACAGTCTTCATGCATAAATTGATTACTGCAAGCCGGACCTTACAAATCTAACCAGATAACACAGAGATATCTCTACCAGATTAATCCCTTAGGGTTCCTCTAAATTTATGTCTTTTTAAAATCACTTTCTCATTGCTTCCTTTCTGTCATATACAGAATGCAATGTGTTACATTCATATTAAATTTCCATTTGTTTTTTGTTTTTAAATAGGATGGGTGCAGAAATTAAAGAACCAACCCAGGATTAATATTTTGTTTTTTGTTTTAACTAAAATTCAAAAAGGGTATATCAATTAAGCTGTTACTGTCTCTGCTGGAAGCTCGGCAATTAGTTCTGATTTGCCATGTCCTAGTGTATTTAAAAAAGGACATAGAAGGGGGAATAGTAAAGGGAGGAGGAGGAGGAGGATGGGTTATAAGAAGCAAAATGAGGGTGGCAGAGGCATCAGACAGAAAAGATTTTAGAGTGGCTAAAGCTTTTTTCTTTCTCCTACAGCATATTCTCATTTTTGTTTAAGCCCTTACAATGTGACAATATATGTAATCATTAAATTCTCTTTCTGATTGTTGTTTTTACCTTGCTTCTCTAATACATGGCTGAGAAACCCTTAATGTCCTGTAGCTGTTTAACTGTCCATCTGTCTCCGTATTAAGAAAGGTTTTTACATCATGTAATGCTCCCAACGGAGCAGATGTCAACATTCTTCTAAATTCTTTCTGCTTGACTGTTTGTGTTTAGTTAAGACTATCTGGAATTGGAAGCTCAAATTGTATCATTCTTATTATCCACAAGATATGGTCAGGAAGGGAACAAGGCAGTGGGAGGTAAGGGAGATGAAACCATCTAAATCAAGCAGAAAAGGTCTGTGCTCTTGGAACACTATACTGAGATGAAACAAAGTTGCATATTTAATTTAGCTTCAATTCTCTAATCATGGAGTCTTTGGCAAAAACAGACTTATTGGCCTAGGTTGCACAAATGAAATTTATGTGTTGCTATTGTTGTTGCTGCTGCTGTTGTTGATGGTTCAGTGTCACTGTGGAAGAAGGTATAAGAAAATAGCCCCAGCCATTATTACCATATTATTATTGTGGTTAAGTTTCTGAGCTTGTCAGCTGGATACCCGAGTGCCGTGCAATGAAGTGAGCTCCATTACTCTCCTCAGCTCCTGCCAATCTAGTTCAAAAGCATGCAAATGTGAGTTGATAAATCGGTACCACTTTGGTGAGAATGTTACTGTTTTCTGTATTTTAATGCTGGCCACATGATGATAGAAGTATCTCTCAGACAATGCTGGATCCCTTGGCTGAGAATCAGAAATGAGCACCTCCCTCTTGAATCAGTCACAACTGGAGAGGTGAAACTTTGAACCTTTATTGAAGTGCTCTTCTATATTTCACTAAGCAGAATAATTAAGGTTATAAATATTTCCTCCATTTATGTTAGGTGTGATGAAGGCAAATTAAAAATATCTAATAATATTAGATCATTATCAGGTCTATGGTAAAGTTAACTTCATGAGTATCCTCAGTCCATCAGGTTATAATAAGAGAAAAGAAGAAGCAAATACTCCATATAATATAGTGGGATTTTCTTCCATCAACAGTAGCCATTGTTAACAGAGAAAATTTGGCCAGGGTTTCAGTGAGAATGCCATCCAATGGTTTGCAAAGAAGTTGCAGAATTAAATTTGCAATATTATGCTAAAGTTGTAAACTAGATTGTAAGAGAAATGTTATTTGTTTAATATACGTTCATTTAATAGCTTGGTATACAGCTCATATTTTCTGTGTCTGTTTCATCTTTTTTCATTAGTGTGCACTGTCATTTTTATATCAATGGAAACTTTTATTAATTTAATTAGGAGTGATATTTAACAAACCTGGCAGCTATGTATGTTTGGTGTATAAACTTTAACAATGCATAAACTTTATACAAATTTAGTTTATACAAATACAAACTTAACTTTATACAATTAAGATAGATGTCATGCCTTTCTTGCAATCTAATTCCTCTAACTTGGTAGCAATTTCCCAGAAATAAAACAGGTTGCATATTTTGAGATGCAATTATTGCTTAGAAATTCAGAACTTTTAATTATTCTCAAAAGACCAAACGGAAATGCAAAATATGGTTCAATCGAAAATGAAAGGGGAATATCCATGCCTTCAAATTTTCAATGAAAACATGCAAATCTATTGACATATGCAAATTTAGCAAATTTGCATGATTAATAGTAATCATAATAGAATAGGTGCTGCAAAGCACATGCAGTGCAAATCAGGCATAAAAATGAAAACTCACCTCTAGCTTTGCTTTTTGTAGTAGCCACTGGGATCAAGGAAAAGGTTGCAAGAGGAGAAGAGAACAGACAGGGGTTAGTTAGAAGTTCTGATGAAAGTATAGAGACAGTTTCACTAATGGTATAGGACTAATAAAAGCTAGATTCGAATACAGTATCTGTGTTATGTCACAATGCATATTTTTCCACCATTTACCAAATGATGTCTATATTATGTATTCTACATTGAGGCCAATGTTGCTTGAAATAGATTACTGGCGGCCGTAATTGCAATTAGTTATGCACTAAATGCTATACAATTTGAAATTTAAATTATTTACCTTTTTTTAAAAAAAATCAACATTTCAGTTTATATCTATAGATATATATATAGATAGATACTGTATGTATTTATTTGCCACCCATCTCATTTGGAATGACTCTAGGTGGCTTATGCATTAAAAGCATTAAAATCATAAAATACTTTATGATAAGATTTTGATCTTATATGGCAGAACATTCGGATATTTATATTATTTCTTCTGTATATGCTCATAACACTACATAGATCTTAGGTTTTTATGATTTTATTGATAGGTCAGGAAAACAGTGTCATGATGATGATAATAATAATGCTGAAGCTATTTTTTTTTTTACTGCATATTAATTGGATGATTAAAAAAAACTGAGATCCAGCCCACAAAATACAATTGTGGACTTTATTAGGTTGAGAAGGAAAGACGTTCTTATTACATTATTCTGAATTTCTAAAGGAAAGGCAAAATATTACTTGAAAATTAAATTAATAAAAAGAAAAAAAAATAAAACATCCACTACATCTATTTAATTCACTTTAACATTTTTAAATGAAAATGTTAGAAAATTTTTCAATGAATAGTTAAAATGTAGAAGAAAAACTTTATGAATTTTGTGGCAAAGTACAATAATACTGACACTGGGAGACTGAGTTCTAATGCTGCCTTAGGAACGAAGCCACTTGAAGAAAAAATAGGAAAAAAATGAAATAGATTATTATACAAGCTGAACTTTTCTTTGATTGATCACTAATACCACTTGTAACACAATCTGGAACTCCGCTTTTTTAGCTTTGCACCATTTTTCTAAAATTTTCTCATGGTCAGTCATGCCAAATACCATTTAGGTCTATATGCAGTTTATATTATTTGTGCCAGCAAGAATTACTTTACACAGCTATACAATAAACTGTATTTTTCTTTTTGAAGCCTTTTCACCTGGTTTGGACAGATCTTTTAGAGTGTTTCACAGATTCTTTATTTTTGTTTATATAACTGAACAGTAAACATGGTATCATTTTTATTACCATTAACCATGGTGACTCCAGGTAATTTATTCATTCATAGTTATGATAGGTAGATTTTAAAACACAAGCATTTATTCCAATATCGAGCCAAGCCCTAGAAGCAGTGGTAGGATTCAGCCAGTTCGCACCACTTCAGCAGAACCGGTAGCTAATTTTTTGTTTCCAAGGCCCAGAATGGATTTCCAGAAGCGGCATCCACACAGAGAACTGGTTGTTCACATATTTGAATCCCACCACTGCCTAGAAAGCACTCTGCATATCTCACTTAGTATGAAAATTGTTTATTTATTACTGCGTCCTGTTCTTTCAACCTGATACCATTTATGACAGCACCATTCTCTTATTCCATGGAAGCTAACTTTGTTTAGGAAGTTTCTCAAAGTTTCTAAGTACTAGAACACCCTTCTCTATTGTTCTTCCTATAATTTATCCTTTTCCCAATTTTCCTTCCTTGCATGCTTATATTATTGTTATTGTTATTATTATTGTTAATAATAATATTATTGTTAATAATATAATTATTATTATTATTATTATTATTATTATTATTATTATTATTATTATTATTATTATTATTATTATTATTATTATTATTATTATGGATCATCGCACAGTCAGCCAGATGTTCAGACTGGATTTGGCATTTTGTCTACCTATCGAGTCCTTACCCAGGACCTGGGATAGGCAGATGTGGATGTTTGATTATTATTATTAAATCTTCAATTCGATTCACAGTCTGGGACTAGTAGAAACTTAACAATTCAAGTCCTAACCAAGGATCTACGAGCTGTTAAGGTAACATTTGACTATATAGGCAGTTCCGATTAAGTCAGAATTTTCAGATCTGATAAATTCAAAATTTCCATGATCTAAGCAAACCTCTCCAGTCTCTTCTTAAAAATCTCCAGTGATGAAGCACCCACAACTTCTGACAGCAAGCTGTTCCATTAGTTAATTGTTCTCACTGTTAGGAAGTTTCTAGGTTGCTTCTCTCCTTGATTAGTTTCCATCCATTGTTACTTGTCCTGCCCTCTTTGTGGCAACCTCTTAAATAGTGGAATACTGCTATCATGTCCCCCTGGTTCTTTTCTTTAGACTAGCCAAACCCTAATCCTACAACTGTTCTTCATGTTTTAGTCTCCAGGCCTTTAATCATCTTAGTTGCTCTTCTTTGCACTTTTTCCAAAGTTTCAACATCTTTTTTGTAATGTGGTGACCAAAAATCAATGCAGTATTCCAGATGTGGCCTTACTAAGGCTTTATAAAGTGGTACTAATATTTCATGTGATTTTGATTCTATGCCTTTGTTTATACAATCAAGGATTTTATTAGCTTTTTTGGCTGCTGCCTCACATTGCTGCCTCATACTTAGAATAGAATAGAATAGAATAGAATAGAATAGAATAAAGCTGAAAGGAACCCTGGAGGTCTTCTAGTCCAGCCCCCTGCTCAAGCAGGAGAACCTATACCATCCCAGACAGGTGAATGTCCAGTCTCTTCTTGAAAATCTCCAGTAATGGAGCTCCCACGATTTCTGGGGGTAAGCTGTTCCACTGGTTTATTGTCCTCATTGTCAGGAAGTTTCTCCTAATTCCAGATTGCTTCTCTCTTTGATCAGTTTCCAATCATTGTTTCTCGTCCTTCCCTCTGATGCTTTGGTGAACAACCTGCCCCCCTCTGCCTTGTGGCAGCCCCTAAGATACTGGAACACTGCTATCACGTCTCCCCTATTTCTTCTTTTCTTTAGACTAGCCAAACCCAAGTCCCGCAGCCATTCTTCATATGTTTTAATATCCAGGCCTTTGATCATCTTAATAGCTCTTCTCTGAATTTTTTCCAAACTCTCAACATTTTTTTTAATGATATGGTGACCAAAATTGGCTGCAGTATTCCAGGTGTGGTCTTACTAGGATTTTATAAAGCGGTACTAATACTTCACGTGATCTTGATTCTGCATTTCTTTATACAACCCAGGATTATATTAGCTTTTTCATTGCTGCTGCACACTGCTGGCTCATAGTCAAGTGATCTTGCCCAATCTGTATTTGTACCTTTGGTTTTTCCTGCCTAAATGTAAGACTTTGCTTTTTTCCACATTAAAACTCATTTTGTTGGATAGGGCCCATTGTTCAAGTCTGTCAAGATGTTTTTGGATCCTGACTTTGTCTTCTGGGGTGTTGGCTACTCCTGTCAGTTTGGTGTCATCTGCAAATTTGATGAGTTCCCCTTCTATTCTCTCATCTAAGTCATTGATGAAGATATTGAAGAGTACTGGGGCTAAGACGGAACCTTGTGGTCCATTTAAGAGAGAAGATGGAAAGGAAATAATAAGCAGTAGAGAGAAAGGAGAGCTGCTTAACTCACCTTTATTTTTGTAACTATCTTTCCTTCAATGTCCTGCAGGTACTGACCATGCATAGGCTTCTTTTTCCAGATAGAAACTTGATGCTCAATTGTTTCCTTTCAATAATCTGCTTTCAATATTGTTGTTTTCAAGAGGTTTCCCTTGTTCACATCCTTCAGCAGAGGCTCTTTTGCCTTTTTTATGTAGTCATTTAAGTTTTTCTTCTTCCACAGTTTGTTTCATCTGTAAGTGTGCTCTGCCACCCTGAAATCTAGGCACATATAATCGATCAATATCAACTTTTGGATGCAGAACGTAGTGCATTGTCATTACTTTTCTTTTCTTTCGATCCAAGTTATCAAGTTCTAGCTGAGTCCAATCAATCATTCCAGTTGACTATCGCATTGCAGGCACTGCCCAAGTGTTAATTACCTAACAACACTTCCTTCACTTAGCTTTGATCTCAAGATTTTCTAGATTCACTTTATTTATTTATTTTTATTATTGTATTATTATTATTATTATTATTATTATTATTATTAACAACAACAACAACAACAACAACAACAACAATAATAATAATCACATAGTCAGCCAGATGTCAGACTGGGTTTGGCATTTTTGTCTAACTATTGACTCCTTACCAAGGACCTGGGACAGGCATATCTGGATGTTTAATGGTGTTACAGATATCGTTGCAGCATGGAAGCTGTTCCTAGGAAAGCCATCTTTTGCAATTGACTGGTAGCAAATTTGTCAATGCCAATGGTGTTCAAGTAATACTACAGGTTTTTGGTATTGTACCCAAGGCCCCTATTACTATTGGTACTACCCTTGTTTGCCTTTGCCACATTCATTCTATTTCTATTTGTAGGTCTTTGTATTTTATTATCTTCAATTCTTTCTCTTCTATCCTGCTGTCTCCATGAACTGCCACATCCAGTATCCAGAATTTTTTGTCTTTCTTATAGACAATTGTTAAGTCCAGGGTGCTATGTGGTAAGTGTCTGTCTAAATTCTGTTTGAATTCTAAAGTCTTAGAAAAAATTAACTTCTTCATTTATTTACTTTCTCTATTTTATGGTCACACCTGTTCTTGCTTGCAGGCAAATGATATTTCTTGCAGATCTTCCAATGCACTATTGTTGCTACATTGTCTTGCCGCTGCTTGTAGTCAGTCTGCACAATATTTTTGTAGCAGCTTACCAGGTGGTCCATTGTTCCTTCAGTTTCTTTGCATAGGTGGCATTTACTGTCTGTTGCTATCTTCTCAATTGTGGCTTTTTATGCATTTGTTCTTAAGGCTTGGTCTTGTGCAGCTGGAATTAGCCCGTCGGTCTCTTTCTTTAACTTTTCTGCTCTTAGCCATTGCCAGGTCTTGTTATTATCTGCTTTCCTTGGTATGTTTTTAATGTACTGGCCATGTAGTACTTTGTCTTCCCATGCCTGCAAATGTTCTACATTTGGTCTTTCTTGTAGGCCAGTTTGGTCTCTCCAGTAATCAGTAAGCCTTCCTGGCATACTAACTTCAGTGCATCTTCTTCATTGTCATTCAGATATTATTTCAAAGCCATTTTTTCTTCTTCAACCATCTGATGTACTTGCAAAAATCCATGTCTACCTATTTGTCTTAATAGATAGAGTCTGTCAGTGTTGCTGCGAGTATGAAAAGTATGATTCATTGTCCTTATTTTTCTGGTTTTCCTGTCCTTGGCTTTTAGTTCTGCTTGAGTCCAGTCCTAATGACTGGAATTACCCAGGTGTTGATTACCTTGATGGTATTTCTACCATTGAGTTTGGACTTTAAAATCTTCACTCTCTTGATGTATTCACTTCTAATCTTTTTCTTGATGTCAGTGTGCTTGAAGGATATCCAGGTATTTGTAGTAATCATCTTCATCCAGTCTCTTAATGTTATTTTGGTGGGACATCTTGATTTGTTCAGTTTTCACTATTTTTCCTTGTTTGATAGTGAGTGTGGCACATTTATCCAATCCAAACTCCATTGCAATATCCATCCATCCATCTATCTATCTATCTATCTATCTATCTATCTATCTATCTATCTATCTATCTATCTATCTGTCTGTCTGTCTGTCTGTCTGTCTGTCTGTCTGTCTGTCTGTCTGTCTGTCTGTCTTCCTGCCTGCCTGCCTGCCTGCCTGCCTGCCTGCCTGCCTGCCTGCCTGCCTGCCTGCCTGCCTGCCTGTCTGTCTGTCTATCTATCTATCTATCTATCTATCTATCTATCTATCTATCTATCTATCTATCTATCTATCTATCTAATGATGATTGATTGATTGATTGATTGATTTAATCTTCAATTCGATTCACAGTCTGGGACTGGTAAAAACTTAACAGTTCGTGTCTAACCAAGGATCTAAGAGCTATTAACAGCAGATTTTCCATGGTCTTCCTTGTCAAATATTTCAGCTAAAACCTTGTTATACGGAAGGGTCAGATTCAAAATATGACATTTCTTTATCATGTATCTATAGAAACAATACCCCTGTAGTCAATGCCATTATGAAATATACTGCTAAGAGGAATGTTTGTATGGAAGCAGACTTCTTTTATTTCATGCATAGACCTCAAAACTTGCATCTTTGTGTTCAGATGTAACCAGACAGAAAATATATGACTGTGCACAGAACAATATACACATT